CCAACAATACATAGGATTACTATTCCTTTTTCATCAAAGAAAATAACATATATAGAACATATACACTACGATGATGCATAGTACTTGAAAATATCGAGAGTGATTATTGAATCACATCTTTTCCTTATTACATTATGAAATTCAACGTTTGTCAATGTAACGCTATGCATTTTCACATCCATAAGTATCATCGTGTATTGATAAGATTTGCTATATCTTAGGACGTATAGATGTAAAGGAAGAAGCGATTTATGTTAGTCTTCATGTACTACTATATTTCTAGAAATTTTCTTTGTGAACCAGCACAATACATGAGAAAAAAAATCTTTTCAGTTAGACTATTATATATGAATGAGTATTGGCTTTTATTTCTTAACAGTGCGAAACAATAGATAGCTGCTCACATGGTTTTATTCTTTTAATCATTTAATTTACAGTTTTTTTTTTTTATTGAATTTTGTATCTGGTGTATTAATCTCATGTAGGATTCGGTTTTCTTCGTCGTTCTTACATATAGACATGTTTAATTTTCTTGTCATCTCTATCCAAGCCTGTAGTTACGAAATCAGCGCCATAAGCTGACTAATTAGAAAGCAAACCCATCTTATTTAATATTATATTAGCAAGGCATCGAATAATCACATAGATAATTAGATCGATGAGACAGCATTTAAATATGAGAGAACAATGATAGATCGAGCTCAAGTTTGAGGTAGTAGGTTTGTTAGTTTAGTGTGTTATGAAAATAGCTAACTAACCTGATTACTTCATACAATGAACTTGAATATGAAAAACTTCACATCAATTTTGACAGTAAGTAAAAAATACAATGTATTAGGTTTTGAATATATTTTAGAATCTTTTTGACAGATGAATTAGTTCAACAATGTTGTTAAAAAGAAGAAAATGATTAATATATCGATTGACTTTCATAAAAGAACGATTGAAAGATAATGCTGTTCAAACAGTACTAATTTTGTAAAATCTGTGAAACTTGATAGGTAGAAAATTTTCAAGAGAGAGAACTAAGCAGGCACTCAAATTTGATTGAAATAAATAATAAAAATGTTGAACACCATAAATCTTAGCGTAAGGAGGAAAAGTTTTTATTTGAAAACCTGTTTTTAAGAAAAATCCACTGATAGTTAAAGCTGTTGGCTTTTTAAAGCATAAAATGACGTTTTTTCTATACAAAAAAAGAAATTTGGACTTCGTAAAATATGCTTATTAGATGGAAGCTATCTAAATCTCTAAATCACAGACAGAAAATAAAAAGCTAAAAAAATTCTTAGAGAATGTGATTCTGATGGCTTCTTGGTTGTTGTCTCTAAAATGATATGAGAAAATAATGAAAAGAAAACAGTACTTGATAATTGTACCATATTTCATTTATTAACTACAAATATAACCATTATTAACAGTGAATTATATTCATCACGGACTCATCTAGTGACTTACAAATAACGTAAAGAATCTTCCGCATCATTTGTTTTTCATTTGACTTTTATTGTCTAGTAATTTGTAATAGTGAATATATATTGTCTAAGAGAAAAAAAAATCAAATTCATTTTTACATAGCATCGATATGCTTTGGAAGCACATGGATATATTTTCACAATTGAAATACTTAATGTATAGTTCTTCCATATTTATATTACCTATCCATAATGTTTTCATTTTTTTTTAAAATTTTCAGCACTTTACGAAACCGTTAAAGAACAATTATTAGATAAGTACTAGAAATCGTCACAGAACGTGTTTTTTTTCGTCTTGTCCTACTCTTAGGGTCGGACAGAGCACCTTCAAGATATATAAACTGAAGTCGACTAAGGAATAGATGAGTAATCTATTTCACAGTTTCAATTGTGTTTATATTCACTGCTCATACCTTTGTTGTATCGTTTTAAAAGAATATTATTCACGTGTAATAAGCAGATTATCATAGAGTAAAAATAGTGTCATTTTAATGTATTCTTGATAGAGAAATAATTCTTTTTTAGTCTAACATGTTGCGTTATTTTGCATGAGTGCATGATACAAGCAACATATCCATACAAAAACATGATACCCATCAATGAAACCAGCGATTCCTAGTGACAAAATATCATAATTTGATTGTGTCCACGTCTTTCATCATCATTTAACAACAGGTCAAGATTCCATTTGTTATTATTTCCTAGATATGTTCATTATTTATTAAAAGATGTCCAATCATGTCCAAATCAAAAGAATTCGTATTGAATAAAGTTGAATTAGAGTGAATATAGTATACATAAGTTCTAATGAAATCGGTCGAACACATGAAATCATCAATAGCTGTTCGAATTACATAGATGACACATATTCTGAAAGATCCCTGTTGGCACTTAATAAGTGGTTTCAAATGAAGTTTTTATGAAAAAACGTTAATAAGGCAAACTATTTTGACCAGTTCTGCTTATCTTCCTGTTCATACTGTTCTACAGAAAACTTTTACCTGTCCTGAGAGCAAGGCAGGATGTCAGGTTGTCCTGCCCTCAGGACAGAACAAGGCATCAGGATGCTTCGCACTGGTAACAGGGCAGGGTGTCCTGGCCTAATGACAGTCCGTGATCAGTGCTATCAGACTCTCTTTCTATAAACAAGAAAGGATTATCTTTGTTTGTCAGAATAGTAAAACGTAAATTGGATATTCAGACGTCACAGGTATTAACAGGTGAATGGGCTGACTGAATGATGTGATAATATTTAATCTTCTTACATTGTTAATCTTTCGATGAAATAAAATAGTGAAAAAAAAAAGTAATTCAATTCAAAAATCTATCTCTAACGAATATTCTGAGAAGTCTTAATTATTATTATCCTCTAATTTTTATTCTTTGTTTTTGAAAGAAGCAATGATTAATGAATAAATAATGAATCAGTTGTAACTGCTCTGACAAAGCAACATGAGTACAAGAGCAAAAAAAAATTCAGAGAGAACCTGCTCTCAAAAACAACACACCCAAAAAAAACTAACAAAAACAAACAAAAATATGGGAAAAAGTAAAGATCGCTGTACAACATGTTCAAACCATAGAGCAAGAAAAAAACAACAATATAAGCTTAGCACTCAAAAAAAAAACAAAACAAAGCAAACCAAAGCAAAAGTATAGATACAACATTATTCAGAAGTGTGAGAGAAAAATATAAACAAACAAACAAGCCCTTGCTATTACACTAAATACTGACAATAATATATCTGAAGAAAAAGAATCATTTCTGTAGAATTCTAAAAAAAAAAATAATATAATTGATCTATTGAATTCAAATTTTTAAAATATTAAACTTACTAATAAATTGAACGACCACAATGTGGACAATATTTGCAACAGTTTTTATCATTACTAAAACAATAAGAAATTTTTATATAAATATCAAATCATCATTCAATTGAAAAACATCTTACACTACTACTGATTCAGTAGTTATGCTTTGCCAATTATTATTTACATTTTCATTTTCAGTTGACCATTCAACACGTGGTGATGATATTAATGGTGGAAAAAGCATTGACAATGGACTAGATGATGAAGTTGGAGATGTATTCATCCATCCATTTGATTGTAGTTCAGGTGATAAACGCCAAGTCGTCGATGAAGGTGGTGTTAATGGCATCCACATTGGTGCATCAGGTGATAAAGATGATGAAGTTGCCAATAATGGTATCGGACGATTCGTTGAAAGAGCTAAAAAAAATATAATCAAATACATAGACGAAGATTTTTTTTTTTTCTTTTTGTTATAAAGAATTGAGATTTACATCGAAAGGCAGTTCGAGCAGGTGTTTGTGGTGGTGTTGACAATAATGATGAAGTTGGATGATTCTTAGCAACGGCCAAAGAGACCTTATAGAAGAGAAAAAATTCATATATATATTAAAAGAATTTTATAGCATACTGTTATTTTTCGTCCGTCAGCAATTGTACCATTTTTAACTTGCATAGCACGTTCACCATCACGTCGCCGAAGAAATGTAAGAAATCCAAAACCTTTTGATCCTTGTGCATTTGAAACTACTTCAACATCATCCACTGGACCAAAAATCTAAATAAACAAAGTCAAAAAACAATATTATAGATTTTTGTTCAACATAATTTACATCAAATTGTTCTCGTAAATGTTTATCAGACCAACTAAATGGAATATTTCCAACATGAATACGTAATGGACCATCATCTATGATAGATAATTGACGAGATGTATGAATATTATTATTGATACTATTATTAAATTGATGATGAAAGAACTAAAATGAAATAAATAACCAAAAAAATATTGGGTATTTTATTTTGAGTTTTATTTTTCTCTTTTGTTTTTGAGTCAAAAAATAAAAATAAAATAACCTGCATGATCTATTTCTTTTTTTTTTTAGAATTGAATATTTTAACAATGATGAAGATATAACAATGACAGACTAGACGATCTAAAAAGAATAACGAAATATTGGAATTTTGTTTCTATCTATGAAAAAACAAAAAGTAGGTCTATGTCTACACTCATTGTTTCTCTTCACGAAGTTTCTATACAGAACGATGAACTGACCGACCGTACATTTGAAATTTTTTTTTTCTTTTCTTTTATGTCTATGTACACAATATGTACAAAGCACATGTTGTCAGTTACAACACTGCTTGTTTCATTATAGTATGTGACTGAATGTATGAAAGAATCAACCATACATTAGTAGTCGATTTTACACAAACACATATATATATATACAACGGACATAAATTTAAATATTCTTCTTTGTTTGTCTATTGGTCATCGAGGTGTGTTTTTTTACTAATCATATTTTTATTCTCTTATGATGAAAAATCGTTATTCTCTTTCGATAAATATAAAATGAATTAAAATTTGACGTTCGTTGTTTTTTCTTTTTTTAACTTTATCATTTTATAATTGATAGAAATTGTAAAGAAGTTGTTTTTCTTTGTCAAAAATAAAAATTCAAATGTTTTTTGATTAAAGATTAGTATAAAATGGCATTTATATGGAATGCGAAAAATAATTTTATTCTTTTACATTTTGTTACACTTCATCAACAACAACAACAATCATCAATATCAGATATTAATTGGTCATCAATTGTAAATGATATTAGTCTTGAAATTTGTTCAACTCCAACTGTAAAAAATTATTGTATTTATTTAGATATTTAAATATTATTTTTTTTCTTAGTTATTAAAAGATCAATACGAATATTTATTAGAAAATTTTTATCTAAAACAAGATTCGTAAGTTCTAAATAATTATTTTATTTTAATATTATTATGTAAAATTATTTAGAAAATCTCTTTATTCAACATTAAAACGTATTTATTTACATTCATTATGTCAAAAAATAGAAGATAATTTACATTCAACACTTGAAGTTGTCTATGAATTAATAAGACATGTACGTTTAAAACGAATTAATATTGATGATATTGAACAATTGCTTAATGAATGGAATTTTGAGTAAGAAATTTTTTTTTCTTTTGTCTTTTAATAATAATAGAGACGCAGTCAGGCGAAACGCAAGAAATATTTGTACATTTTCGATAATAAGTAGAGCATTGTCCTTTGAGAAAATCTGACTATGTTCTTGAACATTAATAATAATACAATGAAAAATTTTTTTATTTTAGTTCTTCATCTGATGATCAGAAAAAAAGTAAAGATCGTCTTTTGGATATATTAAATCGTATTCGTCGTTATATTCAAATTCTTCCGAAAAATGATGATCAATCAATTGATCAGAATCTAGTAACATATATTGAATATATTTTTGTTTTTTTTTCTATATTTAGTGTATTAATTTAGACAACATGTTCAAATACAAAAGAACAATCGATTGTTCAAGAAGATTTAGAAACAGTATCTGATAATAATGATGATATTTCGATGACATATGTTCGTAAAATAAAACAAAAACAATTGATAAATATCGATAATAATCGAATTATTATAAATAAAATTGAACGAGAAGTTTGTTTTCATATTGTTCTATGAAAATAATGTTTTTCTTTCTATTTTGCTTTTGATTAGAAATCGTCTACAATTCGTCGTCGTTGTCAATCATTAACATTATTTGATGGAAACAAAGATAATAAACTAAATATTGGAGTAGAATGGTTTGTACCAAAATTAAAACGTCAACAGAGATCTTCATCTTTACATGCTCGATGTCGATCACCATCACCAAATGATTCTTTATTACTAAAAAATCAAAATATTAAATGTAAAAATATACGTAAGTGACAAAACAATTTCTATCATGAATTTATTAATTCATTATTTTGTTTTAATCATATAGTACTAACGACTATAGACAATGATGAATCTTCAAATTTGATGATTAATTCAAATGTTCGACAAACACATACACAGCCAAGTATTTCTTGGTTACCACTTACAAACGAACAGGTCAATATGATTTTATTACGAATATATACTCTTCAGTGTTTTATCCTGGTTTTTTTCTCCGGAGGGGCGATTTGAAATTCCGGGAGGGCAAGCCATATAGTGCGTCGTGAGTCTCGAGTGAGGGGCGCCGCTCTCCCCCCGCGGGCACCCCTCTGGATAAAACACTTATGCTTTTCTTTTTGTTTATATTTATTTTTGAAAATAGGTTGCAGAAAAAGAACATCGACAAAAAGAACCACGATTATTAATCGACAATCAACAATGTGTAAATTTTGCTATTTGTAGTTGGTTTTTTCTTTCAAATTTTCTAGGAAAACTTTTTTTTTAGGATCAAATATCTTCAGATTCTGAGTCGATGGAATTTCAACAAGCATCATATCAACAGGAACATAATACATGTAAACGGCAACGTCTTTCTTGAAAATTTCAAGCAATCAAAGATTTTTGTATATAATTTAATATTTATCGTAAACTTTCATATATCCTTCATAAATTTCTGTTTCTCAATTAAACTCGATTGACTATCTTTCTATGGAAGATCTGAATAATGATTTATCTTATCATATTGAAGATTTTTTTTTTTGTTGTTGTAAAGATAGTATCTCATGAATTGAATAATTTCTTTAACTTAATAAATTTAGATTCTGTTATTAAAGTATTATATGTGAAAATTGCACACAACGACAATATCATATAGACGCTAGAGCATTGTATTGGAGAATGAACATTATAAAACTCTAATATTAAAATAAGATTGTACATGTTACGATATCCCACTCATAAGGTTTATCGACTAGTTTAATATATTGTTAATGATCAAGAGTTAAGAGAAGAAAAATATTAAATCGTTGTATAATATATTTAGAATTATCAACATTTGACAGCCTTTTGTACAATAGCGTATTAATAAAAACCAATGTTATTATTTATTTTAATAGATAATTTCTCGAAATTTTTGATGCTTAGTCTCCTTGTCATAGCATAGTTAAGAAAGTTACTAGTCTCCATCTTAATTTCAAATAGGAATACTGACCGCGAGTAAAGTAGGTTTTTTAACATTCCAATTACCTTCTAGTACACGCATCCCTTATCTAGAATTATTATTGTGATGACAAAATCATCAAATTAAGAGAAGTTACCTATGAAAACAAATCAATACCATAATTTTAATTCATGTTGATATTTCTACTACAAAAATAATATCATTAAAAGATCGAGAGTAAACATCAACTTAGTTTTGATCTATATCAATTTTCGAGGATGAGATTCTTGTCTACATATGTGATCTATTTTTTAGAATATTGAGAATCTTTTGGGAATGAAACTTGGTGCTCATAAATATTATTTATGTTCATGATGATAAAGTGCCAAATCATCTGATCAGTAGAGCTAGAAAATCTTTATTGCGTCTCAAAGGATAAAACCTAATGCTTTGACTTTTTTTCTGGACACTCGATATTGTCTCACTATATGTTATATATTAAGTGTAACATAAAAAGAACACAATGTTGTTTTACCATAAGCACTGAAAGATTTGGATGTGAGCATGGGTGCCGGCATTCACTTCATCCACATTCACATCCTGATTAGAGTTTATTGGTATTTGTATGCATTTCTTTTTATTCGATCATTTAGTTTATACTTCTTTGTCTACCTTACAATACCAGAGAAGATAGTGCTACGAAGCAATTATCTTAAATCGATTCCAAATTTATGCTTTTTGATTAATGACTAAAGGGCGATTTGACGATGATGCCCAAAGTATATAACATCTAATTGATTAACAAACAACTTTCTCGTTATCTCTAGCAACAGGATTTTATGATATATAATTCAATCTTTTGTATAGTAGTTATTTTTGTGAAATTGATTACTTAGGTCGAAAAATTCTAATACAGGTTTTCATCTAAACATTGAAAGAATACATATTTAAAAGAATAATCTACACTATACATACGAATCTAATATAAATAAAATGATCAACTGTGTTGATGAAGATAAGAAAATTCTTAATAACCTTAGCTTTGTTCATAACTCATTTTTGATTGCTCTGAGAACAACATTTGGCTAATTGACGGAATTGTATAGTGACATCAACATAATGAGATTGATTGGTTACTCTTGTAAAATGTTCAGCAGTGTTCAACTCAGGACTATTATGACCAACCGTGATCGATTACATTAATTCTGATAATGACTATTTTCAATTCCCATCGAACTAGTTCTTATTCAATACACTGATTATTACCATCACCAAATGGAATTTATGCATATGAATGATGAATTTTGTTTTCTGCGGAGAATCTGACCGAATACATAAATTCTGGATCAATAGGCCAATATTGAGAGCCATGTTGAAGTAAATAAAATGAAATTTGATTCATTTCATTTTGTGCGGGATAAAATAGAAGAGACGATCAAGTCGTACCATTGGTAAAGCTTGATTATTTCCAATGTTTATAAATTCAATTTTGGTCTCTTTTTTGTACATGTGGATGTCTTCTGGCGAAATTAATAAAGAAAAGTAATGCTGCAGACGATATTTCAAAATCAGCAACCATCAAAAGTAGTATTTTATATTATAAGTCAGCTCGAGACAGATCTCAAAACAAGAATGCAATATACTCTTCTTCATAATTTCATTATCAATTATTAAAGTGTACCTCTCTTTTCTTCATCTTTCTTGTTTTTGTTTTCATTGTTTCATCTTTTTCTAGGAAATTACCCATTAATGCAATCATAAATGTTTGTTTTGGTTGTGCTATCCTTTTTTTAGCTGTGTGCAACTTTTTGCTCTATCATTTGATATAAATATCGTTTGATGATAGTATTCTCTTGTTGATACTTTGAACAGACTTTTAAATGAATGACGGCCATACAGTTCTGTAGTTGAAATGTTATCCATTGTCGTCCTTAATTGATTTCAATCAGTATTAATTTCGTCATATAATGTTTCCAAATAGTAGCCAAAAACAAATAAGCAAAAGATGACACTGTTCATTAATATTACCATGATGATGCGTCGGAAAATCAGTAAGCCATCTAGCTGATAGCTTATTTATACAGTCAATAGTTATAGGCAAATTAGGAACGCACTTCCCACAATGAATGAAGAGAACTGTAATTGAAGCGTGTTGTGTATATGTAGCAACTATATTTTGAATGAGATAATAAGTATTTATTAACATTCAAAAAATCGACCTCATTCAAATAAATATTTGCAAATAAACAGGCCAAATTGTACAAAAAATGATCATATGGACCACAAACTTTTCGATTGGTGTATACGTTTAGTATATCTTCCATTCCAGGAACACCAATCAAGCGTGAAGGATGGAGCTAAAATTGAAAAATATCATCGAAATGATTTTCAAGTTTAGTCAAAGGTAGAAGAATTGTTGCATTTTGAAGTAAATCCTGTTTAAAATACATTATGAAACACAAAATGAGGTGGAATATCAGATATTGGATCACCTAGAATGAACTATTTCACTTTCTTATATAAATGGTCTAGAAATATTGCTACGAAGTGTAATCTGAAAAGAATAATGTTTATTGAATATAAAGATACACTAGTCAACTTATACCACTTGCTTTTAAAACCAAAAAACACATGAAGATTTATTTACTTCTTTTTTTTTGTCATCACTGAGTTACAGAACCAATATCTGTATGGATACATCGAATAATAATTGTACCACATCTGGTGACAAGTTTGGTTTTGTAACAATAATCTTTTTTCATGGATTTGTGCATTTCTCAATTGAAAATATCGAGGTAACCTGGAAACTATTGGTGTAATATCTTTTACTCATTTTAAGATAAGAAAAGTGCAATAACAAGTACCAAATAAACATTTATTTTATTTTTGTAATTGTAATGAAGTTCTACATTTTCATCGCAATATTTTGTCTATACAGTTAATGCAGAACTTGAAATACTTGTCATCTAAATTCTATTCTCAAATTTTATTCATAACGTCTGCACTTAGAATTTCAAAACCAGAAGCGCCCGCTATCGTTCCTACTAAGATTGAGAGTTTTTGATTGGTCTTCATCTGTTGTTCAATGTGCTTTACGGATAAGCACACTTAGTCACATGCAACATATTTACCTTTTTTAAATATAATATTTTAATATTTAATACAAAAGCTACTTATTTTTTACCTTAATTTTTGTAATTTTCATCATATAAGAGACGTATATGCATCGTGTTGTATGCGCTGTTAATGAATCTCTCTATTATCAAATGCTTTGTAAAGGTTTACTTATGTCTTTACTGAAATATGAATCTATGCCATATAAAATTACTGTTCTTCTTGATGGTAAACATTCTGAACCATTGGACGATCTTCGTAAACATATTGAGATTATATCTGTCAAACCTCTAGATATTATTTGTGGATCTGTTTCATCGAGAACAACGTTTGCTCGACTTGAGATTCCATATGTGTTTCCGTATGAAAGAAGAATTTTATATTTGGATGTTGATACTTATATTATGAATGATATTCATGAACTTTTCACTATGCCATTTGAAACAATAGCGGCAGTTGTCCCAGGTACACATTTAATGATAAAAGACTTGATAACACGAGAATTTAAAACAAAGCTCAATACAATGTATTATGAATTAGATGGCATTCGTTATTCAGTTGGTTCAGAAGATCACAAGTATTTCAATGCTGGTAATTAAGATCTTACAAGTTTATTCGTGTATTTCAAAATTTACTAGTTTTAATAGTGTTTTGAATTACAGTAAAAATATTCTTCCTATTGTATTGACCTAATACAGTTAGGTTTTATATGAAATAACTTTATTCAAAATATAATATTAAAGTCAGACTCAGTTCAAGAATTGCATTGGTCATAATTGTATTAGTGTTTAACTTATAAGACAAAGTCAAATTACATAATGTTATTTTCTAAGTTATTTATTCATTAAATTTTTTTCCTCTTTGCTTCGTTTTTGGGAAGAAAAATTTCATTTGAAAAATTCCTATAATATTCATTTTATTATTGTTAGGTGTCATGCTAATGGATTCATATAAATGGCGTCAGTTTCGTATTAAACAACATGTTGAAGCTCTAATAAATGCACATCCATTAACTATGTATACAAGTGATGAAATGGCACTCAATCTAATTTTTCGTGGTCGTCTAACGGATCTTCGACAATGTTACAATACTTTTTCTTTTACAGCAAGAGACCTCACTGAAATTCCTCGTATTTGGCATTTCAACACGTATAAACCAATTATTCATGCACCACTAACTGAATTTTCTACTTGGTTATCAATCTTTAAAAAAAAGGATCAAATACTTCTGAAACATCTTGAAACAATTTCTGAGCAATCGGAAACAGCAACTGTGCTAGCACTAAGAAGCCAAGATTATAACAAAATTTGACAAACATACGAAT